ATCATTCTTGGATGGGCTGCAAATCAATTTGTGACTGCTTGTGAATGGTGGAATGCTACGTTGTCCCATGCAATAACAAATATTGTCATGTTTCCTCCCACTTGTTCCCTTTCTGCTTCTGGCACCAGTTGTTGATGAAGGTCATCTAAAAACAAAAGAAGGCGCTCTGTGTTGTAGGGACCTATCTGGCTTTTCTGCAGGACCAAACCAGCACTTGAGATTGCAGCGCACATTGTGATATTTGCTCCTCTCTGACAAATTGGAACCAGCTGTTTCCCAAGTAGAACAATAATTCTTATCAGCTCTTTGAGCTGTTGTGGCAAAAGTAGAGGATTTACATTATATTTAAAGTTTGGATCATTAGGTCTTCAATTCTGTCATGATGTGTTTAAGCATTTGTTAAAGATATTTGAAAGATCCATTATTTTGCTACGGGGTAAGCTTGTGTGAAAAGAAAATGTAAGCATTTTAGAAACATGTGCATTGACTAAATTTTGTGTGAAAACGACATTAATTGTATTAATGGTATGGTCACAACAGACAGATGTTGTGATAATTGTGTTTAGAGTTTTGAAAATGTGAATACAGAATGGACAAATGCTTGTTAGCAACAGAAAAAAACTGTAATTAGGTCACATAGAAAGGGTAAAGGTCAGATTACATTTTTATATGTGTGGCTCATAATTTTTTTATGTTCTTCTGACCTTCTGCTCTTGTGCTTTAGAGGTTTGCCCTCCTCCTTCAGTGGTTGCTATGGAAAAATCTTGTACACGCTAGAAGCCAGGCTAGGCAGATCGATGAGGATTGACAAGAAGGATTCAACTAAACTCAACTTTGTGTCAAAAGCAGACCTGCACAGTGACCCTTTGCTAATGGTGTTTGCTGAGTTGCATCTTCATTTCTGTCATTCCAACAGGGGAAAAATTCTGCAGGGTAGCATGACTAAACGTCCAGTGCTTCTCTATGTAGTACCTGCACGTAGGTGTAATGAGCAGTGCTGTATTGTACATTGTAATGTATTTGCATTTAATGAAAAATGACTTGTAAAAACACTTCCTTAAAAATGCACACATTATCAGTGTTACTACTGAAACTACACTATTTGGTCATTGAAACTGATCTCATTAGCATGATTTTATTGTGTTCCTGGTAGAGATTTTATCTAACTTTAGCTCCCCTCCTTGAACCGCCACCTTATTGTGGTGGAGGGGTTTGAGTACCCGAGTGATCCTAGGAGCTATGTTGTCGGGGGCTATATGTCCCTGGTAGGGTCTCCCAAGGCAAACAGGTCCTGGGTGACGGGTCAGACTAAGAGC